AAATAAGAATTGACACACTGTCCTTGCCTTACCGCCCAGTGTTTTCCCTACTTTGCAGTGAACTGAACTTGTACTAGTTTCCTATGGCTGCTCTAATTATCACAAACTTGGTGGATTGAAATGATACAGATATACTATTTTATCACTCTGAAGGTAAAAAGTGCTAATATCAAGGTGCTGGCAGAGCTGTGTTCCTCCTGGAGGAACACAGAGAATTCATGCTTTTTATTTCCACCTGCACTTCTTGGCTTATGGCCCCTTCCTACCTGCCAACTTCTGCTTCTGCTATCACAATTACTTCTCTGACTCTGACCCTGATGCCTCCTTCTTAGAACCACAGCAGGCCCACCCAGATAAGCCATGAAAATCACTCCACCTCAAGATCCTTATTCACATCTGCAAAATTCCTTTTCCTGTGTTTCAGGGATGAGAATGTAGACAACTTTGGGCATTATTATCCTGTCTATCATATAGTCCTTGGGACAGAGGGACAGATCTGCATACTTATTAATCCATCATTCACTTTCCTTTTTGGATATTAGTTTCTTTACCTGTAAACAGGAAATTCATTCGACAAATATGTTATTGGCCACACATCTTCTAAAACTAGAGGGTACAGAATAAAGCAGATTCAAGTCTCTGCTCTTATAATGCTTACATTTTAGAAGAGGAATAAAGTTAAATGTGTTAGGTGGGGAAAGTGTTGAGGGTTGGTGAGGAAACAAAGGTATCCAGAGTGGAGCAAAGTAGGAAGAAAACAATGGGTAAGAAGCCAGAGAGGGAGGGTGGGGTGCAGAATGTAGATCTCTTAGTCTTTCAGGACTTGACAAAGACTTCAGATTTCTTCAGAGGACATGGCAGTGTTTTGAACAGAAGAGTAACTATGATCTGACTTTTTTTTTTTTTTAGTTTGCTATAGGGCATGTGTGCTTGCTGCAGAGAGACAGAGAAAGACTGAGAGGGAAAGTGAAAAATCACCCCCTACACACACCCTCCAAGGGATGGCCACATCACAATCAATTCTCTTCCATTCTTCTCTTGGGATTTTGAACACACATGCCCACACGCCCAATGTGTTCATCAAGCTGCTGGGTCCAGGACTCGAACTGCAGTCAGCCAAGTGAAACCTAGCCTCCTGAACTTCCATGCCACCTGCTGGCCCTGACTTACATTTTAATGGATCACTCTGCTGATTGAGAATACTAAAGGGGACAAGGGTGGTAGTAAGGAAATTTGCTAGTTCCTCATTATCTTTACCTTTCTTTAACACCTGATTCATTTGCACATCCTTGCTTTGTTCATATAGTTATTTCTCCTAAGAGTATTTACTTTTCTTTCCAATTCAAAATTCTGTTCAGCACTTCCTTCAAGATGGAGCTCAGTTCTCATCTTAGAGTTGTAAGGGAACTCCTTATCATCTGCCTCCATTTTCAGAGGAGGAAACTGGGGTCCAGAACCCTTGAGAAGCTTTACACCATTATACAAATAATAAATAGTGATGCTAGGACTGCCCATAAAATATGATTCAAAGGAAATTGAGAGGTCTCCATGACAAAAAAGACATTTCTCCTGAAATTCTATTCATTGTTTGCAGTATCTTCCATTAAACTGAAATCCTAGAGAGGATGGAGAATATCTTATTCAATACTGTATACTTTGACCAAGTATGGGGCCTGGCATGACAGACATCTGGCAAGTATTTGCTAGGTGAGTAAGTAGCATAATGTCAAGCCCTCGACAATCTGTGATTATCTCTCCACTCCACCTCACTCTACATCTCATGATGTTAAATGCTAGACCAAAGATCAAAAATCCATGAAGGTTCTAGTAAAGGAGACATTATTATTAACAAAGGAATAGGAACAGATCTTCCTAACACAGTAAAGGTCAACGCTAGAGACCCTCTTTTCCTTCCCTTCTCAATCCCCAAGCAATTGTAGGATAGGGGGATAAAATAAAATGAAAGCTTTGAACAGCCACATCCAATGCCCTGTGGCCTTCTGTGCCCAAGGTGTGGTGAGTTTGTTCTCATGAGGGTGATCAACAGCAGTGACAACGTGAGAAGTAAAGCCAGAGTTGTGTGGGAATTGCGTGTGTTGATTGGGAGAAGGGCCCCATGAAGTGAGTCCTAATTTTCGCTGTGGTCTTGTGAACTTATACTGAGCTATCTAGTTGCTAATAATTTTTAAAGAAGGACATGAGTTTACACTACCATGTCTGTCCTCTAGAATGGCACCTGTCCTGCTGTATTTTAGAAAGTTTATAAGAAATCTCTGAAATACTCAGCTTCTCCATGGTGGCATAGTGCCTTAAGCATTTATGGAGCACCAGTGCCTTGCACAGGACCATGTTAACAATAAGTGATAAATAAATATGGGAAGGATAAATGCAATGGAAGCATAGAGACAAGGAAGAATGCTGGCTTTCCAAGTTCCACTGTCTTTGAGATTTCAGAGTGAGAAACAGGAAACAAGCATCTAGAAAAGATACAACATATGAAGGGATTTCAAAAAGGTCATAGAGCAGTTAGCATAATGGCTATGTTGTTGGACTCCCATTTAGTCGACCACAGTTGGAGTCCTGGACTCGGTGCCTTAAACGCCTGCCGGGTGCATGTGCGTGCATGCCCAAGCCGAGAGGAGAATGGAAGAGAAGGGATTCTGGCACCCCCTGGGGGTGATTTCTCGCTTTCTGTCTCTCTCTTTCTGGCTAGTGCACTCATCCTACAGCAAAAACCTCTCCAAAAAAAAAAAAAAAAGAAAAAGAAAAGAAAGAAAGGAAGAAAGAAAAAAAAAAAGTCATAGAAAATGGAATCAAAGTATATTTTGGTGAAAAATCTTTGAAATCCATGTATAATTTTTCCTAATCCACATTTTCATCAACTTTTTGAAGACCCCTATGTGATTCCTGTGATGACACAAAGATAACCTTTTTAGTCATTTATTTTCATGGATGTGTAGTAAGCATGAGTAAAATATAAATGAATAAAAGTACTGGCTTCTTGGGAACCAGCAGTTAGCATAATGGCTATGTCGCTGGACTCCCATGTAGTCGACCGTGGTTCGCGTCCCAGACCCGGTGGCTTAAAACTCACGCCGGGTGCGTGTGCGTGTGTGCCCAAGATCCCGAGAGGAGAATGGAGGAGAAGGGATTGCAGCATGACCATCCCCCCTGGGGGGTGATTTCTCACTTTCTGTCTCTCTGTCTCTCTCTGTCTGTCTGGCGAGCGCACGCGCCCTATAGCGAAAACCTCTCCAAAAAAAAAAAGTACTGGCTTCTTTGTCTGATAACATTTAGAGTGCAATGGTTCTTTGTCCTCCCCCTCTTACACTAGCTTCAGGCTTTCCTCTGATACCACCTCCCAGACTACATCTTTCAACTGTATCTCCACGCCCAGAAGATGAATGTTGCATTAGAAGACTTTTTAGTTCACCTTATTTTGAATTTATTATCTAATCATTTTCTCATTAACAATACTCTCTTCAAGTTAACATCACAATTTGGTTCTATTCTTCCAGCACTAGATTATCCAAGTTTCTGAGTCTTCCATGGATTCACATGTAATAATTAAAAAGTCATTCAGGCCCCAGCGGGACCATCTATCAAAATGGGAGGATAATTCAGCCTATCAGCCTACAAGTGTATTTCCAAAGTACTGGAGGATCGTTGAGATAAAAATGCAACACTGGCAAGAGCATAAGTTTAGATAGTTAAGAGATTGGAAGGAACCTGGAAAACTATCTGGATTAACCACTCCCCTTTTTACAGATAACAGAATAGGCTCAGAAGTTAAAGACTTTCCATCGTCACGGTACTAGTTACGGCAGAGTTGGCCTGGAAATAAAGCCCAGTGATCTTTTCTGTGTGCCTGTTAACTTGTGGAACACATCTCTTTCCTCCTGTTTCTCATTGCCTCAGCCCTCTGAATGGAAGTTTACCCTCCTAAATGTACAACTGATATAAACATATCCTTCAAAAGAGATGCTGGCAGACAGATAACTTGCGATACATAAGGGATGATGTAATCACAAGGGCAGAGTCCAGAAATAAATCATATCTTCAAAAAGTGTTTGCAGATATTGCATTTTGAATAATTTTCATATAAATTATTTTACCCACCACAGGAATGCTACTCTTTCCTGAAGGGAATTGACCAGAGAGGGAAATAGAATATAGAAAAGGTAGTTTAGATTTATTTTTAAAACATCAGTTGAAATCTAAGTAATAACCCTCAACTAATCAGGTTTTTAGCAGAAAGAGCAAGCCATAAGAAAGCAAGCATATATCAGAGAATTTAAAAATCATTCCAGGGCAGGGGGGACCAGCAGTTAGCGTAATGGCTATGTCGCTGGACTCCCACATAGTTGGCCACGGTTCGCATCCCAGACCCGGTGGCTTAAAACTCACGCCGGGCGCGTGTGCGTCCGTGCCCAAGATCCCAAGAGGAGAATGGAGGAGAAGGGATTGCGGCGTGGCTATCCCCCCTGGGGGGTGATTTCTCGCTTTCTGTCTCTCTGTCTCTCTCTGTCTGGTGAGCACACGCGCCCTATCACAAAACAAAACAAAACAAAAAAACCTCTCCAAAAAAAAAAAAAAAATGGTTCCAGGGTTTATCTTAGGCTCAATAAATTTTTTTTCTCAATTTCCTGTACTATTTTTAAAGCACCCCTGCACACCTCCTTCCTCCCTTTTGTGTGTTCATTTAATCAATCTGCCAATATTTATTGATTTCTTCTCTGACGTGCCAAGTACTCTGCTAAGACAGAAATAATCTTACCTTCCAAATGTTTAATGTTTAGTTAGAAAGTTATCCTAAAAAGACTTAAAATTTTATCACATTTTTAAAGTTATATTTATAGTTCTTAAGTGGACAGCTCTGTACAGAATATTTCCATTTAGCCTTCCACATCTACTATCTACCATTTTGCATTTTGTTCTGTGCTACAGGGGACTGAGGGTGGGGCTAGGAAACTGACCTGTGTGGACCAGATAAATACATACCTTTGCTCTGAGGTTTGCTGAATGGAAGGAACAAAAAGAACAGAATATCAGAGGGTGGGAGGAGAGGGAGGCCAAGGTATTTATTTCCCATACCTCACATACACATTGATCCCCACTACTGCCAAGCTGTGGGTAAGTAGTGGCTCTATACCTTTCCTAAAGGCCACAGCACCTGTTGAATAGGCTTCTCCTAGAACTATTGTTTAGGCTAGTAGCTGTCATACAAATCACTGTGGTTGCCAATTACAAAATAATTAGTACCTTTCTGAGGGGGGAAAAAGCAATATAACTAGAAACTACTACTGAAAGTAGCTAGAGAAGGAAAACAGGTCAAGATAGTCTTTCTACTTGACCTTTAAAGAGAGATCTGTGGAAAGTCACCTCATGTTCACAGTTGGCTAAGAAGTTTCATATTCTCTGTCTTCATAAACCTGAACCTGCCATACCAGAAAGGACCAGAAAGGCCAATTTTATTGAATGTAGTTGCCTGGAGCAGAGTCTTGAGAAAAACTGTGAGATCCAGTCTCAGCATCTCTGTATCAGTATCTTCCATGGACATGGGCTCAGTGGACATGCTCTAAAATGTGGTTACTGGGCAATACCCATTTCTATATCTGTAAATGACTACCTCAGAACAGATTGGAAACTAGTGTCTAGAACCCCAAGAGTTACACTGTATGCCATCTAGCTCTCCTACTTTTATACTCATTTTACATATAAGGAAAAAGAGGCACATGAAGATTAAATAGCTCACTAAGATCAGTAATGTGGCTGGCATACAGATTTTCTCCAAGTGTGTGCTCAGTTCTACTTATTAAAAAGGGAAGAAAAACACAGCTGACTATAATTGTTGATAAGTTTTAGGAAGTCCAATGGGATCTGACTGGCCAAACTGGAATCTGACTGAGACAGTGAGGTTAATACCCTATTTTTTAGAGAGATCAAGGTATCTTGTCATCTAATTTTTAGAAGGAGCAAGATCTAAGTGTCATGCTGGACTTAAGTCGTCATAACTAGGATCCCAACATCACACCAAATAGGTGGAGTGTGGGAAGGGATCTAATGTAGTTTGAGTACATAAACTAAACAGAAGATAGCCTACCTAAAAGCTACTCCAGAAGCTTTTTAGAGGCCTTACCAAAATTCTTCTTGTAAAAGTAAGCTTTGAAGTGGAAAACCTGTTTGCCCAACATATGAAGTAGCTAAGAGTAAATGAGGGTGATTTTAAATAGTAAGAGTAAAGATAGCATATGGATCTTGTCTTCAGACCATACCACCTGGAAAAGATACACCATGCAGAGAGACAACAAGGTAAAATATTCTTTCAAAAGTTTGTGCTACTTTTTAAGTTCCATTTTCCCCACGGAACAAGTAATAAAACTGAGGATGAATGGTGGGGATGGAGAACACTAAAAATAGTCTCTTAAAATTTTTCAAAATTGTTCTCTATTCTACTGCAGAGCCATATGTAAGGGAATAATTCTCTATCTTCTTAAAAAAAAAAACCTGTTATTTAATGCTGAACTGGTAACTTAAAAAAGAGTATGGTGGATAAAGTCACTGGATTCCCACGTGGTTGACCAGATCAAGTCCTGGACTTGGTGGTTTGCTTTCTCACTTTCTGTCTGGTCAAATTTAAAAAAAAGAAAAAAAAATAGTAACAAATAGAATTAAATAAATAAATAAATCTTTAGGGAAAAAAAAGAGTATGGAGAGAAAACATTAAATAATGAAGAAGAATCCTAGGGCTTGTAATATTTCTATATAATTGGTCCTCCTGGTACTGCACGCAAAACACTTTACAAGTAAGGGAGTCCAATTTTGAAGATCAGTCATGCAAACAGTTCACTTGTCTGTTCTGACTCTACCCATCTGCCCCAACACCTCCTAATTCTAATCAAAATGCCTTCACTGTGGAGTAGGAAAGAGAGCCCTAAGGGCAAGAAGCTGAATCTGACAACCCAAAAGCTGTGGCCTTACCCCTTAATTTTAAGGACAATGTACTCCAAGAAAAGTCTCCTTTGCTATTCATATCACTTTCGTCTTCCATTGATTTTAGAGACAGTAAAACTCCCTTAAAACCCCTAAGTAGCTTTCCCAAATACAAGATAGGCTCTCTGATTCCTGTCATCACACTAAGATGATACTCTAACTTGCACTTGAGCAAAACCTACTAGCAACAGTGTTTTTCAGCGTTGGAGTAGAGAGATGACAGCGGCAGCCTTTTAGAAATTGGACAGATAATTGTTCTACCTCTAAAGCCTGACTCAAGGCTGTGGCTTTCCAAAAAACATTTACCCACTCGGACCAACCCGAGCCTACCTTCTTCAGCCTACAGCAGTGTCATCTCAAGTAGAGTGTTCCTCTGGAGGTTGAGGCTCTTTCTATTCCTGCTCTTATTTGTCTGTAATTTTCATGAAGTACTTGACCATTTTCATCAGCTATAAAATGAGTAGAACTAGAGTTAAGTTAAAGTGAATAAAGGCAATCTCCAAATCATTATTAGTTTCCCACATACTTTAATGACCTGGGAAGTTATCTCAGGGGTACAATCTGCCCCATTTTGATCCATTCTTTTTTTTTTTTAACTTACCATAGGGCTTACCCAGTGGGGATAGCCATGGGGCAAATCCCTTCTCCTCCATTCCTCTCTCAGTATTTTGGGCACACATGTACATGCAACTGACATGATTTTCAGGCTGCCAGATCCAGGACTCACCATATAGCCAGCCATGTGAGATCTAGCCACCTTACCCACCATACCACCAGCTGGCCCAATCCATTCTTTTTTTTTTTTAACTTACCATAGGGCTTACCCAGTGGGGATAGCCATGGGGCAAATCCCTTCTCCTCCATTCCTCTCTCAGTATTTTGGGCACACATGTACATGCAACTGACATGATTTTCAGGCTGCCAGATCCAGGACTCACCATATAGCCAGCCATGTGAGATCTAGCCACCTTACCCACCATACCACCAGCTGGCCCAATCCATTCTTTTTTTTTTTTAACTTACCATAGGGCTTACCCAGTGGGGATAGCCATGGGGCAAATCCCTTCTCCTCCATTCCTCTCTCAGTATTTTGGGCACACATGTACATGCAACTGACATGATTTTCAGGCTGCCAGATCCAGGACTCACCATATAGCCAGCCATGTGAGATCTAGCCACCTTACCCACCATACCACCAGCTGGCCCAATCCATTCTTTTTTTTTTTTAACTTACCATAGGGCTTACCCAGTGGGGATAGCCATGGGGCAAATCCCTTCTCCTCCATTCCTCTCTCAGTATTTTGGGCACACATGTACATGCAACTGACATGATTTTCAGGCTGCCAGATCCAGGACTCACCATATAGCCAGCCATGTGAGATCTAGCCACCTTACCCACCATACCACCAGCTGGCCCAATCCATTCTTTTTTTTTTTTAACTTACCATAGGGCTTACCCAGTGGGGATAGCCATGGGGCAAATCCCTTCTCCTCCATTCCTCTCTCAGTATTTTGGGCACACATGTACATGCAACTGACATGATTTTCAGGCTGCCAGATCCAGGACTCACCATATAGCCAGCCATGTGAGATCTAGCCACCTTACCCACCATACCACCAGCTGGCCCAATCCATTCTTTTTTTTTTTTAACTTACCATAGGGCTTACCCAGTGGGGATAGCCATGGGGCAAATCCCTTCTCCTCCATTCCTCTCTCAGTATTTTGGGCACACATGTACATGCAACTGACATGATTTTCAGGCTGCCAGATCCAGGACTCACCATATAGCCAGCCATGTGAGATCTAGCCACCTTACCCACCATACCACCAGCTGGCCCAATCCATTCTTTTTTTTTTTTAACTTACCATAGGGCTTACCCAGTGGGGATAGCCATGGGGCAAATCCCTTCTCCTCCATTCCTCTCTCAGTATTTTGGGCACACATGTACATGCAACTGACATGATTTTCAGGCTGCCAGATCCAGGACTCACCATATAGCCAGCCATGTGAGATCTAGCCACCTTACCCACCATACCACCAGCTGGCCCAATCCATTCTTTTTTTTTTTTAACTTACCATAGGGCTTACCCAGTGGGGATAGCCATGGGGCAAATCCCTTCTCCTCCATTCCTCTCTCAGTATTTTGGGCACACATGTACATGCAACTGACATGATTTTCAGGCTGCCAGATCCAGGACTCACCATATAGCCAGCCATGTGAGATCTAGCCACCTTACCCACCATACCACCAGCTGGCCCAATCCATTCTTTTTTTTTTTTAACTTACCATAGGGCTTACCCAGTGGGGATAGCCATGGGGCAAATCCCTTCTCCTCCATTCCTCTCTCAGTATTTTGGGCACACATGTACATGCAACTGACATGATTTTCAGGCTGCCAGATCCAGGACTCACCATATAGCCAGCCATGTGAGATCTAGCCACCTTACCCACCATACCACCAGCTGGCCCAATCCATTCTTTTTTTTTTTTAACTTACCATAGGGCTTACCCAGTGGGGATAGCCATGGGGCAAATCCCTTCTCCTCCATTCCTCTCTCAGTATTTTGGGCACACATGTACATGCAACTGACATGATTTTCAGGCTGCCAGATCCAGGACTCACCATATAGCCAGCCATGTGAGATCTAGCCACCTTACCCACCATACCACCAGCTGGCCCAATCCATTCTTTTTTTTTTTTAACTTACCATAGGGCTTACCCAGTGGGGATAGCCATGGGGCAAATCCCTTCTCCTCCATTCCTCTCTCAGTATTTTGGGCACACATGTACATGCAACTGACATGATTTTCAGGCTGCCAGATCCAGGACTCACCATATAGCCAGCCATGTGAGATCTAGCCACCTTACCCACCATACCACCAGCTGGCCCAATCCATTCTTTTTTTTTTTTAACTTACCATAGGGCTTACCCAGTGGGGATAGCCATGGGGCAAATCCCTTCTCCTCCATTCCTCTCTCAGTATTTTGGGCACACATGTACATGCAACTGACATGATTTTCAGGCTGCCAGATCCAGGACTCACCATATAGCCAGCCATGTGAGATCTAGCCACCTTACCCACCATACCACCAGCTGGCCCAATCCATTCTTTTTTTTTTTTAACTTACCATAGGGCTTACCCAGTGGGGATAGCCATGGGGCAAATCCCTTCTCCTCCATTCCTCTCTCAGTATTTTGGGCACACATGTACATGCAACTGACATGATTTTCAGGCTGCCAGATCCAGGACTCACCATATAGCCAGCCATGTGAGATCTAGCCACCTTACCCACCATACCACCAGCTGGCCCAATCCATTCTTTTTTTTTTTTAACTTACCATAGGGCTTACCCAGTGGGGATAGCCATGGGGCAAATCCCTTCTCCTCCATTCCTCTCTCAGTATTTTGGGCACACATGTACATGCAACTGACATGATTTTCAGGCTGCCAGATCCAGGACTCACCATATAGCCAGCCATGTGAGATCTAGCCACCTTACCCACCATACCACCAGCTGGCCCAATCCATTCTTTTTTTTTTTTAACTTACCATAGGGCTTACCCAGTGGGGATAGCCATGGGGCAAATCCCTTCTCCTCCATTCCTCTCTCAGTATTTTGGGCACACATGTACATGCAACTGACATGATTTTCAGGCTGCCAGATCCAGGACTCACCATATAGCCAGCCATGTGAGATCTAGCCACCTTACCCACCATACCACCAGCTGGCCCAATCCATTCTTTTTTTTTTTTAACTTACCATAGGGCTTACCCAGTGGGGATAGCCATGGGGCAAATCCCTTCTCCTCCATTCCTCTCTCAGTATTTTGGGCACACATGTACATGCAACTGACATGATTTTCAGGCTGCCAGATCCAGGACTCACCATATAGCCAGCCATGTGAGATCTAGCCACCTTACCCACCATACCACCAGCTGGCCCAATCCATTCTTTTTTTTTTTTAACTTACCATAGGGCTTACCCAGTGGGGATAGCCATGGGGCAAATCCCTTCTCCTCCATTCCTCTCTCAGTATTTTGGGCACACATGTACATGCAACTGACATGATTTTCAGGCTGCCAGATCCAGGACTCACCATATAGCCAGCCATGTGAGATCTAGCCACCTTACCCACCATACCACCAGCTGGCCCAATCCATTCTTTTTTTTTTTTTTTTTCCTTTTCTTTTGGAGGGGTTTTTGCTATAGGGCACAGGCACTTACCAGAAAGACAGACAGAGACAGAGATATAAAGCAAAAAATCACTCCCCAAGGGAGATGACCAAGCCACAATCCCTTTTCCTCCATTCTCCTCTCAGGATATCGGGCACGCATGCACACGTGCCCGGCCTGAGTTTAAACCACCAGGTCCAAGACTCGAATCGTGGTCGACTACATGGGAGTATAGTGACATAGCCGTTGCGCCAACTGCTGGTCCTGAATCCATTATTTCCTATAATGGATCCAGCACAAGATGGTACAGCCAGAGAACTGTAGCTTTACCCAACAATAAAGAAAAGAAAGGTTGTTTCTATCATAGAATCTTCTATATTTGAAAAAGGTATTCAATATAAATGAAAGGTCAAGGGTGATGAATTGTGCTTTAAGTAAATTTTGAATACAATTGCCTTGTGGTCTTTGCAGTCTGCAAAATTCTTCTTTAAGTGAATAAATGTGTAGGCCAACTCTCTATTACCTTGATCAGCATCTAATACCAACCTGACACACAGAATTAAATTAGAGAAACAAAATTGGATACTTTAAGACTTGAGGGCTGATTACACTACTAGAGCTAAGAGTGGATTTAAACTCTTTTCTTATCCCATTTAAATCTAACTAGGTATAAACTCTCCATTACTGAGGAGTAGAGGTGTGTCTGCAGAGGTGGAGGTTCCCCTTGATGTTCTTGGACAAGGAAACCTAATCCTTTCTTCTGACACACATGGTTGCAATAGAAAGTGTTTCTCAACTGCCAGTCTGGTTTTAATCTGTTGTTTCTAGCAAGAGAGGATTTGCAGGGAATGTTAAGGAGAAGCAAAATTACCAGAACTTGCTATAAAATGAAAGTGTTGATGAGAAATCAAACTTTAAACAAATGTTCAAAATGGTAAGCATGAACATGTACACACACGAATCAAGTGTGTGTACACAGTCCATGGTATAAGTATAGGACTACATAAGTTTAACATTAAGTACTTAAAGTTTGCTTTATTTTTTCTACATATTTATTTTTACATAATTTGAAGTTATGCTTCATCTTGCTCTTTCTTTTTTTTTTTAATTGCCAGAGGATACATGTGACACAGAGAGAGAAAACATCCTTCGATGGGGCATAGTCATTACATAACCCCTTTTCCTGCATTTCTCCATTTCATCAGGATTTTGGACATGTGTACACACACATGCACCCAGTCAAGCCACCAGGCCAGGAGTCAAATGCTATTGGCTATGCAGGATCCTACTCCCTATGCACAGAGCTTAAACACTATTCTACATGGCTGGCCCTAAGTTTGCTTTAAAACAATATTTATATCTCATGTTACTGAAGTTCTTCAGATTACACAAATGATAATAGTGGTTAAATACCATCATTAAACACAGCACAGTGTTTTATTTAAACAATACTGCTGGAAAATGAGATAATCTATAGGTAAATCTTTCATAGACCCAAACTTACAACAGCATGACATGTTTCTAAAATATTAACCATTTTTGGGGCTGGCAGGTGGCATGGTAGTTAATGGTGTGGACTCCCACATGGCCAACTGTGGTTTGAATCCCAGACCTGGCAGCTTGCTTCCTCACTCTCTCTCTCTCTGGCCCTCTCTGGTCAAATTAAACATTAATTAATTTAATTAAACCATTCTTAATTTTAATAAAATATATTAACCATTTTTGTATGGAAACTTTTTAACAGTGTATTCTAGAGTTTTTCTTTAAAGATACACTGACTAATATATAATCTTTCCCTGAAGATTCTTTGTTACTATGTTTAAAACACTTATTAAACTGGGGTCCAGCAGATGGCAAAATGGTTACGTCACTGGACTCTAACAGTTGACTATGGTTTGAGTCCCAGACCCAGCAGCTTAAAACTCATGCTGGGTGCATGTGCGTGCATGCCCAAAATCCCTAGAGGAAAATGGAGAAGGGACTGCGGATTGGCCATCCCCCCGGAGGGTGATTTTTCGCTGTCTTACTATCTCTGTCTCTCTGGCAATTGAACATTCCCTACAGCAAAAATCTCTCTTAAAAAAAAGCTTTATTGAATTAAAATAAGCTGAACGTACTGCTCACCTTTTCTTTTTAAAGAAATATTTATTAAATTTTATTTATTATTATTTTTTGATTTGACTAGAGAGAGACATGGAAAGTGGGGGTAGTGAGAAAGCAAGCTGCCAAGTCTGGGACTCGAACTATGGTAGAACACGTGGGAGTCTGGCACTCAACCACCATGCCACCCGCTGGTCTCTATGCTGCTCATCTTAAAAGATGGCTAGAAGATGTTAAAATTTTTGGTCATACTCTTACCAATACCAGAACGCTATTGTGCAAAAGTGTAAAAGTAGAGTTAGCTCACTTTTAAGAGAGAGATTTTTTTTTTTGTGATAGGCCGTATGTGCTCACCAGAAGGACAGAGACAGAAAACAAGAAATCACCCCCCAGAAAGATGACCATGTTGTAATCCTTTCTCCCCTGTTCTCCTCCTGGGATTTTGGGCACATACACACACAAGCTCAGCCTGAGTTTAAAGGTGCTGGGTCCAGGACTCGAACCAGGGTTGACTATGTGGAAGTCCAGCAATATAACCATTACACCATATGCTGGTCCTGTCACCTCACTTTTAACAGGTCCTGTGTTTTTTCTGTTGTCAACTACTTCTTCTAGCTGTAAAAAGTCTATCAATTTCTGACAATTGTTTAAGTTGTTAAAATCAAATTTAGATTTAAAAGGTGTGCCTACACACTAGTGTAAGACATTATTCTACAAACCGGGGTCAATATAAAAATTATAAAATATAGTCCTTGTCCAGGAAGCAATCTAGCTTGCTGGCTGAGTGATACTTGAGAATTACCAGATCACCATCGCAGTGAGAAACACAATTTATGACTTTTAATAAAATCTTGTTATTACATTGTTAATATAATTAAATTTAAATAATTAATATTAACTAAAAATCTAGTAACAAAATTTGCAAGTAACTTCATTTTAAAAATCAGGATATTGGGACCAACAGGTGGTATGGTGATTAAGGGCACTGGACTCCCACATGGCCAAACACTGCTGGAGTCTAGAACCTGGCAGCTTGCTTTCTTACTTTCCTCTCTCTCACCCTGTCTCTCTGGTCAAATTTAAAGAAATAAATGAATGAATAAAATTTAAAAATTTATATTTTTAAAAAATCAGGATATTAAAATGATCAGAGTTGTGTTCTGACAGACTCTTCTTTAGAGAGATTATATCTTGGAACCATTATCAGTCATACAAATACTGGCAGGGTAGATTAAGAAGTACTAGTGAAAATAAAGTGGGTGCATCATTTGATAGCTTTTGGTGCACCAGTCTCATTGCTAGGTTTTTATCTTGCAATCTCGAAGGCTGTCAGAAGTCTAATTCTGATCATTTCTAGGGTCGTGTAACTAGTTATAAATCTATAGAAAACTTAATGGTAATGCTTTACAATATATATGAGTACTAAACATTTAGGCCATTTATAAAACGTTTTATCCCTGGGTTCAGTAACACCACATTGTTTAGGTTCTCTAACAGATGTTGGCTACTTATTTTTTTTACTTTTATTTATTTATTTATTTCAATCATCTGACCACATTTATTACACAAACTCAGGTCTCAACTCTTTCTTTTCAGTTATCTTCTGCTCTGTAGTTCAAACCTCTTGCCTGAGCTCCAGGTCAGTTTTGTTGAAAAATGAGACTTACTTTCTTAGCTTTTTTCCCCCCCTGATCCATGTAATTCCTTCCCTACTCACTTCTAAATTACACCAAATATGCTTGAAGTTCAGTACTCTGTACACTTAGAGGATTTTACTGTATGTTTTATTAAGGTTTGTCTTACCCTGCTAGATTTCAGCTTCTTCATACAGTACAGGCATTTCTTACACAACTTATCTCCTATTTCCCCGATAACTTTCAGTATTAGTTTAATACATGACTACAACAAAACACAAACGATTCTGGGAAATCTCTTCCCATTAGGTTTTTATGAAAGATTCTTGATCTGCTGGGAGCTTTTTGGGTGCGTTAACAGTATTAGTCCCTTTTGTGATTTAACTCAGGGTATTGCCTTCTTTCTGATGCCTTTCCTGGGTATGGATGAAGCACCAGTGTCCTCATCAACTCTCCTCCCCAAACTTTGTGTTCCCTTGTATAACATCTAAAACAATGTGCATCATTGATTTACTCTGCTACCCCATTAGGCTGAGCACTTCTAGAAGGCAAGGTATAGGTCTTTCTTTGTATCTTCAATGACAAGCACAGGTAAGGTTCAACCAAGTTTGCAGGGCGAATGAATGAAAAAGCTTTTGTCACATAGGTCTCCACCTACAGACCTCTTAAGAGAATTGCGGGGTGTGTGTGTGTGTGTGTGGGGGGTTCGGGGAGCAAGCAACAGGTGGCTTGGTGGTGGCTAGGTGGTGATGGCGCTGGCCTCCCACACGGGCGACCTCCCGGACCCGGGGGCTTGAAAATCACCCGTGTGCTGGGAGCCCAAAATCCGGAGAGGGGAGGAGAAAAGATTGCTGCGTGGCCAAACCCTCGGGGGCTATGGGTAGGGGCGTGATTTCCCACGTTCTATCTCTTTGCCGCTCTCTCGCAAGAGCACGCGCCCTGCGACAAAAGCCTTACAAGACTTAAAAAAAAAAAAAAAAAAAAAAAGAACCGAGAGGCCTTGTTCCAAGAGAAACTCTAAAAACTTACTAAACGCTGGCTCCGGAAGGCTACTAACAGAGAGACAACCTACTTGAGTTTCTTCACAGGCTAAGGCGCTATCATTCCGAAAGAACTTCTCCCTCTAGGGAGGCCGAGCAAGGAATCCAGGACAGGAAACCAAGGAAAACACTAAAGCCAAATCCCACTCGGTTTCTGCCCCCACCTGCTCTGCAAAAATCGGACTTGCCCAGCAGCCCCTCAGGGTCAGCCAGGAGGACCTGGGCATGCGCAGAAAGCAAAGGGAACGACGGCACGGGAACTAACTCAGAGCAGACGTCATTCGAGAACGCGGGCTCCGCCCTTCTCAAGATGGCGCTGCGCTCAATGCGGAAGGCGCGAGGGTGCTGGCGCTTCATCCGGGCACTTCATAAAGGACCCGCAGCTGCTTCCGCTCCTCAGGTAACTGCAGCTGGCCATTCTCCCGCCGGCTTCCCATCCCGTAGGTCCTTTTCATACCTCTCCCCTCCCTCCATTTACGTCTCTCTTCCCGCTTCTTTCAGCGGGTACCGAGCCGTGTCTCTCCTTCAATCTATTTATGACGGCGTGCCTAACTCGTACGTGCTGACGTTGCAAGGATACGTGATAACGTAAAATAGCGTAAAACTCCCTTAGTGGAAGTAGCATACGGCGACCGGACGTGGAGGTGGCTGTGCCTCTTGGTTTGGGAGCTCCTTTTCTCCTCTGTTGCCAGGCAACGCAGGAAGACAACGCCTGCTGGGACAAAAATCAAAGACATGTCATTCCGGGACTGCAGTCCTTCTCTTGGTCTCATTACTGCCTTTTTCCTCCTTTCCTTAACAGTAAGCCAAGAGGCCAACGGAGAAATTGGAGGAGACGCCTTGTTAGGAATTGGGGTGGAGGGAGAGGAGGCGTAGGTCGGTGCAGCCCTCTGACTGGAGCACCTGTTAATGCACCTTCCACTCTACTTCCTCCTCGCTGCGCCATAGCAGTCCTGTGTTAGCACGCTCTGTGCAAGAATGACAGCAAGCTGCCAAAAGCCGCCGTCCTGTCCCATATTTGACAGCACTGCCGTCACCGTTACTCTTCTCTACTCTTCTCGTACTGGAGAGCATAACATGGGCCTCAGCCTGTCAGTATTTGGAATTTTACCCGCCTGGCTGGGAGTATTGGGGGGGGGGGGTTTGACCTTTTCCTTTTTT